TTTCTCGTTATTAAATATATGGTGAGAAAATTACTAAACATCCTAACCGTTAACAGCGACCTTAGTTAGAGGTGTTTAAACTTAATACTACAATAAAATCACTATGCGAAAAACAGTCACCTACCCAGCATAGCAATATCAAAAAAACTATATTCATCATTGGTTGTTTATATCGGCCCGTAAAAGAGTGTAAGTGAACACTGAGGGACCACACTGGAAATTCGCGAAATAATTTTCTAAATATTTAGTAGTACGCTTAATACAATTGCAGAATGAACCCTGGAATTTGTAAAATATTACAAAAAAATACGTGTGGCACTCGGTGACTGCCGCGGTAAAGCTATTGCATAGCATTTTTTCTCAACTTATGCAACTATAATTATTTATTTATTTTATTTATGCAGTTAAGTCTTTGATATTAAATCAAGTTACACTTTTTGAGCGTGGTGACCGATAAGAAAACAATTTTTTTTTCTCTTATTGAATAAATGAGAAGTTAATATTGTTTAAAATATTTTTAATATCTTACAATACATGTAGGTTATTCAGGAATTTTTATCATTGAGTTAGCAGCTAGTGTACACGCATACGTCTAGTCGCACGCACACAAACACCGTGCCGAAGTCTGCCGAGTGCCGAAGTCTGCCGAACTGAAACGACGTTAGACGATGCACGGCTTTCAACGCCACACCTTCGTGCCCGTCGGAGTGGGGAGCGTGAGGTTTTTTCGTTACGGAATTTCTGGATTCGGTCCCCGCGCTCAAGGCCCGCGATAGAAGCTATGCAATAGCTTAAAAAAATTACAGCCCTTTCACAACGTATAGTTACTCAGTTCTCCCATTCCACAAGGCAGAGCTAGCAAAGTATTTTAAAAATGAAGCTTTTTCATAGCATTGGGTGACAAACGAGCGCACAGTCCACCAGATAGTGAGTGGATGCTGTGGCCTATAGACGTCCACATTTATCTTCAATTAAGAATCAATGCAGATGCGTTGTCTCCCCTGAGGACTAAGATGGATGCCTCGATTCCAGTAAAAAGGATCTCCCGTTCTCTACACTCACCATACGATACAACAGCAGCATTACGCTGGTATTCTGTGAGAGCGTTGTGCTGCCCCAGTTAACCCGACCCATTCATACTGCAACTACGATATAGCTGCAGGGTGGCTCTACCACGTATAAAAAGCTAATATGATTAAAGTCATTTAATAAATAATTTGTGAAACTTATTTACTAAATAACAAGACACGATGTTGTAGTGATAAAAGAAAAAAGTATCTAAATGGTGGTCCCTTAGACTACACAAAATAAAGTTGAAAATTTTAATGAATCTACGACATAAGCCTTTTCTATTTTAGGAAGCATTTCCTAGAGTAGTATTTGTTACATTTGGTAGGCGGATATACAATTGCAGAACCAGAAGTCTCGTAGCTTGATACTGCTGCCTGTCGTCGGTCTGGGTGTTTACGACTAACGTTAATGAGACGATTATACCGCCATATTTCAGAAGCCCTAAGACTTTTATACCATTACCTACAGTTGCCAATTACGAAATGTAAGGGTCGAAATTGGGCGATGGTTCGCCAACCGCACATGGCAATTACATCATTAGTAAGTTTAAATTAATAACCCTGATAAATTAAAAAGGCAGATGCGTATAATACGAGTATACTAGCTATATAGCAGACTAACATTAATATCTGACATTATAAATTCAAGGGTTATATTATATTCCAAAAAACTTAGACTAACACTACTGTACTCCAAACATGTACTCAACAGGACCTCGGCTTCCAAAGTTACCACTGAATTTTGATAATAGTGAATAAGGAAGGAAGAATAAGGAATAGAACTTTTAAAATTAAATTATTAAAAAAATATCATACTTGATTTCATTTATACCAACCTCATAATGGAGGAGGGATACAATTCGACTCTATGTTTTTTTATGTGTGTTAACTCATAACTTTTCTCATTGTGAACCGATTTAGATGATCATTTTTTATCTAAAATCTGGTGCTATTCTCTATTATAGTCTCATATAAATTTAGTCAAGATCTGACCAGTAGTTTTTGAGTTTTTTTAATAATGCGCATTTAACTAACTTCATTAATTCGGTCGTATTGAAGTCGATTGTACAATTTTTTTAATTTTACCGCTTGTATAAACAACCATTTAACAAGTACCCTTGTATTTAATAGAAATAAAATTGAGGCTCTTTACCACGGAAAGAGAATTTTTCCGTCTCAAAGTTTCCATTATTACGCCTTAGTATAGAGCTGATTACAGCTTTTACTGAAGCACACAGACGAGCGCGAGATTGGAAGGGAATTAGATGCAATTTCATTGACTTGAAACGAGAATACCATTTCCGTAGCCTGTCGCGCTTTACTGAGTTATTGAAAATTTTATGGACAAATTGGCCTGTCTGCGAGACGCGATCTGTCTATCGTTTTAAATTTAATACTGAAAATACCTTTCAAGAGAATATCAGAAAATGTGATATTTTCACTTATTTTCAACAATTTACAAGTCAAAATCGTTTAACAAAGTACAAAGCAAAATACAGGAAACTTTATAAAATAGCCCTTAAGATAACAATGACATGTGTCAGTTTGTCGTTACAGAAATATTTAATTATTTTTATATTTTTTTTTTGTCATATTGTAGCCAAATAATAGTTCACTGCTGTGTTCCAGTCTAAAGAATATAGTGAGCCCCTATAATCAAAGGCTGAGAGGCATTCCACCTGTAAACGTATATTCTTTGTTTAAAGTAAGCTACAGATGTCAATGGACTGCAGAAGCCACTTACCATCAGGTGGACTGTAAGATCATTTGTCATTTCATTTTTATAAAAAATGTTTCGTTCATAAAATCGAAAAAAAATGATTGTTTTTTTTTATTAATATGAAAAAAATATCATGCCACTGGACTGGAAAGGATGCGGTATTAAAATAAAGGACGAATACATCATTCAGATTCGAATTGCTGATGATTATGGTAGTATAGTTAGAGGACCTCAGCACTATGCTCAATGACATCAGCAGTGTCCCTTAAGGGATAGGTCTTAAAATAAACACGAACAAAGCAAACGTCGTGAATAACTTACATGACATCTTTATGCCGTTAGTAGTTGGGAGCACTGCGCTGAAGTTCGCGACAAGTATGTCTAGGACAAAATAATAAAGGTTCTCGAGTAGCAGCCTCGTACCGATAAGCGAAGTGTTGGATGGCCAGCCACTAGACGGAGTGACGACTTAGTAAGAACGATGTAGGTGGTTCAGGACAGTGCTATGCAACATTCCGTGAAGGAGGCCTAAGTTCAGCAGTGGGCATGGATTGTAATGATTATGAATCAAAAAAATTATATTATAATCTTTTCTACCATAGATGATATCACAACTATGTCATGGATTTATTTCAAATAATAATTACCCTGACTACGAGTATCCAAAACAAGTGATCGAACTTCTGCATAGATTGGACCAAAATTAATAATTCAATAGCTCGAAAAGCAATATACTATTAAGATATATAGCACCACAGATAATGGCTGCTATTAAACACTTGAATATTTAGGAATTTAGAACAAAATAGAATCATAACTAATATTTAAGTGATAGAGCCGCACTGAAATGTGTCATGGTTGCAGTACGAATAAGGTCGGCTCGATCGGGGAAGGATCACGGTCGCACAGAATACCAGTGTGAATTGGCAACGTAATGGTACTCTGTTTTATCTGGTAAATGAAAAAGACCGAACTGGTACTAGTAATGGGATATTCCATCTCAATCTCGGGGACAACAACGTTTTAATACTTAATCAAGGATTGAATTAGGATATATGGGCCACAGTCAGGTGGACTGTTTGCTCGATTGTCAGCCTAAATTCTATAAAGAAGATATAATTAGAGTATATAAAAAGCCCACTACTGAACATAGGCCTCCTCAATAGACTGTCTTATAGGGATAATGTTGCTATAGTTTCCTCACTTGCCAAGCATGTTGGCAACCGCAATTTTTTATCATTCTCAATTGTTATTAGGAAGATGCGGCTTGCCATAGAATATTGTAATTGTATATGTATTACATATAGATTTCTATGCTGCTGTCCACATCGTATTTTAGTTTTTCTCTGTTGCCGCTTACAACATCTACTGGATTCCTACGCTACCGCTACATGGTAACGTTACGGTGATCCTCAGTAAGGCTCAATGTCCACTGCGGCAAAACGTAAGCGACTTTTTGTAATGAAATTGTAAATAGTAAAATGAGTCTTATGTTAATTGTGTAACGCGCAAACTAGATATTAGCCAAAAAAAAGTCGCGCGTCTTCCAGGGAATTCTCGAGGATTCCCGTAGCTACTGTCAGCGAAGTATGTGGAATTCGCGGGAAGTGGCGAGAAGGGCGCGGAATCTAGACTAACTTTTCTATAGCCTCAAGGCGACTGCCGTATAGTCCGAAGTTTCAATGTCCATGACATTTACTAAGTTAATATACACGATAAAACGTCGGGAATTTAAAATCCGTAAAACTTAGTTTCATTTAAATGTGTAGTGTTCGCGTAAACGTAATATACGATAGGGAGTAATAAGGACTTCGCTTGATAAACAAAATGTAGACTTATAATTATTTGCTAGTTTTGAAGACGAACATGAAATTATTTTATATCATATCTTATAAAAATAAGCACGAGGAGGAGTAGTTAGAAACTAAGATATTTGAATAGCAGTCCAGCGAACTTGTATCCAATTAAACTAAACAAAATTAAGGAGCGAGGTTTTTTTATTTCCCAGCAGGAAATACTGCGAGCGCATCTCCATTCATCAGGCTCGTCCCCTCAATTCATTATTTAAAAGGGTAATGTCCAATTAAGTCAAGAAAGTATAAAAAGTCTGATCTATGCACCGGCACGCACAATGTTATGCATAAGTATCATGACCGACTCCACTTAATTAGGATTAATGTGTTTTAGTGCCAAGTACATAAATGGCATATCTATAGAATATAATTTCTAGCGTTTGATTGTTTTTGATTGATATCACAATGTGTCTCTCTCTTTCTTTCTTCTGTGCAGTTATTACTCCCACTTGGTAGTGGAGTCTGCTTTTCTGACTTCCAGTTTGTTATGCAACGCATAATTTTCAACTTGCAGGTGCTGAGATGTTTTGTTGACCAGATCCGTAAATCTATTTCAGCTTGCCCTATCTTTTGGGCTTTGATTTCGATGTAGTTTAGAGGTCGGTGCTTAAGTGTACATACCAACACATTCTGCTCTTTCCTAAGCCTAAATGCGATGTCACGCACACTAAGCTTTCCGCGAACGCACCCGTTGCAAATTTTATCAAGTTTTGTCACTCCGAGCAGCCATCGAAGCGTCTTCATTTCGGATATTGTTCTGTGTTACGGTCAAACTTGCACTTCCGTATATAAAAGCTGATCTGATAATGGACTTGTAAATTATCCCCCTGATATCATTTTAATTTTTTTGGCTTTTCTGCCTTGTAATATGTTTGTGTTGGAACTCGGAACTGTCTACTCTATATCTGTTTATCATTTAGCCGCTATGTAAAAGCGTAATAACTGTCGTTTTCCGGTTTAAATAGTATGGAGATCCAGTTCAATTAAAGTTTTCGGAGTTTCTCATTTTAGTTTTAATCAGAAAACTTCTAATAAAATAATTTACAGAAGACGATGCACTTGTAAATTTATTCAGTAAACTTTAAGCTGGTTTGTTAGATTTAATATTTTAAAAAATCGGTCATTCGGAACAATATCTTTGTATTGTAATACAAAGAATATTTTTCTGCTGATATTTGTGTGTGTTTGTATGGGGGGGGGGGGATAATCGAACCATTAGTCATGGTGAGTGGTTATTATAGTCCACGTATAACTGAACTACAACTAAACAAAGGTGGTTACAAACGCGTTGTCAGTCCTGGATATTAAGATGACCTTCCTAAGAGCGTGTAATTATAGAAAATACTATATACTATAATAATATTAGTAAAATAACCTTACCTTGATTTTATACCATGAATCCTCAATTTTTTAATCCAGTCAAAACTATATTTGAAGTAAATTACACATGGCTTTCGGATTATCATCATCACCATTAGTATAGCCCTTCACAAAGCCCACTGCTGATATAATCAACCTTTCTTATGCAATGTCAGAAAACACATTTCATTGACATAAAATTTCGTTCATTGAAATATCCGGTATCTCTGCATATGAGTTTACCCTCGATATTCTAAGCGTTATTTAGAGGTCATGTAGGTTATAAAGATGGGGCGAAGTTGTCTTCATAGTTAAAATTAAATATTAAGACAACTTCAGCATATCTTTGTCAGCATATTTTAAATCACTCCTGGATATAGAACTTTTAAAGAATACTTCCAGCCTGCGTAGTCAACGTTATGAATATATTTGAAAAATCCGATATTATAGGTAGCCAGAGCCTCGTTCGTTTACTACCGAGGATGGCACTTCGAGATAAAGTTGCTAACACTCTTATACCCATGACAATTGTCGTCAAATAATGATTTGTCACTTATTCTAATATGTTTATAATACAAAAAAAAAAATTAAAGCGGTCTAGATGCGACCCGAAAGGTCCACAAGACTAACTTCCGAGTGGAAAGAATAAAAAAATATTATATGTTTTAATATTTTATACAACTTTTAATTCGGCACAAAAAACGACTTCACCGATTTTGCTAAAAATTTTATGAGGTCTAAGTTACATAATTATGCGTTAAATGAAACTGGTCATGTCACTAATGTCACATGTCAATATCACTATTTGTTCTCGAGATACACGAGGTGAAAATTGAATCCAAACACACGGATATCCTCTTAAAAACCATACTATTGTCTAAGTCTAACTAATGTCTCTAAAGACCTTCAAACGTGGAGATATGTTAAAATTTTAAATTTACAAAATCGGACCCATTACAATAACTTCCCACTGGGAAGTTAAAAAGACATAAAATACGAGAAGTTTAAAGACGCACACAACTAATTTTGTAAGAATCTGTAATCAAAGAATTTTTTATGCATTAATTTCTTTGTAATGTTGCTTGTAGAATTCCTGCAGTGGGTTCAGCTACACGCTATTGTGCTTGAACAGACTTTGCTTTTCTACGAAATTTGTCATTTGAATAATTATATTTCCAAGAAAATCGTAGCGTTAAAATATGCAAAATGGTAATTTATGTTTTTCACTGGAATTTTCACTTTTGCTTCTTAAAATGACGGTAGGAAGGTAATATTAGCAACCGTTATTATTTTGTTTACTTTTGTGATATAGGGACATATTGCTTATATTTACATTAAAATTTTCACCGTAATTTAATTATATCCCTAGGGATATAACTATATACCGTAATATAGTTATATTACAGCGTTTTCTAACTGTCTTACTAGGAATATAACTATGATACGACCACGATCAAATCTTATTAGACTACTATAGTGAAATTAGTATTTTCCGAAACAGTGGTAAATAAAAAACTGACTTTCAATAAGTATTATGTAATAACCAATAACCTATGTATATTGAATATAAATTATTTCATTCTATTCTATTCTAGGGATCGCCTTTGTCTTATTGCTCCGCTTGCTCCAAGCAGTTTTAGTCCACCCTGGGGTAGTGGTTTTTAGAACTCCGCTACCACGTTAGAGGGTGAGGAATTGGGCCTCCAGCCACCTGCACTTACCAGGCGAAACACAGAAGTGAACTTCTGCTTCACGCTGGTATTCCGTGAGGTCGTGGTACCACCCCGGTTCGAGCCGGCCCATCCGCGCGACAGTAAAAGCTGCATATAGGTATAGGAATAGAGATATTACTATGTATATCACAGCTTCACCTTTTCTGCGACACGCACACACACACATATTAAATAAAAATTTCGCTGTGAAAGTAGTTTTCAATAAAAACGGCTAAATTGATTAACTATATATTCGAATATATTTATGTGTAAATATATTCGAATTCAAAGAAGTCAGAAAAAAATATAAAATATGTCGTTACGCGGAGGCAGCTTCTCAGTCCCTTGTGTATTTTTTCAATAAATTCCTTCCTTATCTACCTTCTACTATAATACTTTGAAAAGAAGGTCCTAATATTAAAAATAAATAGGTATTTGCACCTCATGGGATTCAGATAAAGGTGATAGTGATAGTGTTGTAAAAATCGTGCAGTTTTAGATGGTGCATTTTCATATTTATGACTGATATAAAAAATAAATAAAATTTGTCTTAGTAAAGAAATTATAACCATTATTATTAGGGCCTTTTTTCCATATAACTTTTACACGGTTTCATTACGCAATCTCTGCAAATACATTTAAAATGCGATTTAGAGACATCTTTATAATAAAAAAAATATCGCGTCAATTATTACAATTCGTGTTTTTGTTTTCACACAACCAATCATTATGCGTCTGTAATTTTTTTATGAAATTATTATGTTTTTGAACGTTCTAAGTAGACTTTATCATTGCCTCAATTACAAAGCAAGCAATATGAAGTGTGCATTTGGCTTTTAATTATTAGGGTACTAATAATAAAATCCACCCTTTCTCATGAAGCACTCATGCTCATGACGCTTAATGCTCTTAAAATGAAAAGACTTCATATGAAGAAAATCTACACGGCATGTAATACAACTGATATTATTATTATTTAAAATTTCAATCCAATTCCATCGCGTCACACGTAATATTGAAAATCACAAAAAAAAAAATATCAGAACGAAAGTTATAATATTTCCGGAACGCGACTTCCATTTACCTGCGCAGCATTGATACCTGGTAATCAAAACCTTTGATTTTGCACTTCACTAGTTTCGATAATAATAGGGCTGATGCCTAGGGACTTTAGTATATATTTTACATGTACCATATTTTTTAGTCATTCGAAAATCTAGCGTAACATGACGCTGTTAGTGTCCTTTTTGTATATATTGTACACATGTTTTTAATATTTAAAACGCGTTACATATTTATTAGTCACAAATAAAACAGATCAGATATGTAATCCAGCGTGTATGAATAGTTTAATTATACACATTAAATTACATATCAAACAATAAATATTTAAATAGTTATAACACAGTATCAAAGGTTAAGGGTCAGAATTTTTATTTTAGATTTTAAACATGTATATTTACAACCTATCTAAGAACAAAATAAATCTATCTAAGAACTAATATATGTGATAATTTTTTATTTTTAACGCAAACACTTCAAATATAATCAAAACTCATTTTTATAGACTTTATCGTAAAACAAACGAAAGGACCAATAGAAAACCACGTAGCGGAACAAAAACATAGTTGACGTGAAAACACCGACTCTCTTGGAATTTTACAATGTGTGAATGTGTTTCCCGTTTTCTACCCAGTCATTTACAGTATTATATTACATTAGCTTCGAAAGACACAATTCTTTCAATAGAACAACCATTCATAACAAAGATGATTTGTGTGGCTAATGAAGTTATAACACATTCTAATTTTAATAGAGATGATGGTTTTGGGATCCTATCTAATATATAAAAATTAATTTTCGTCTGTTCGTATTTGTTGTGCTGCCATATCGTACATCAGATTGCGGTAAAACTTATTAACATATTGCTTGCACTTCCGCGAAGGTTATAGGCATACCCAAGTAGCACACAAGTGGTATAACAAAGCGCTACAACAGCCGCTTAACAGGTATTATCTAATGGATTTACTTTCATAAGTAAGTGCTACAGTAGCGATAGAGAACTTCTCAATCGCTTCTATGCCACTGAAAAGGGCACACTTTATACGGGCTTCAGTGCTATAGTAGGTACACAATAGCAGCATGGTGAGCTGTAAAGCAATACAAGGATGCGGTAAATGCGATTTTTGGAGCTAAAAGATATATAAAGATACACAAGAAGTTCTTGTGCTACCTTTATAGAATTTGCACATGATTGCGACGTGACTGTACCTCGTAACTAAAAGCTTCTTAAAGGTATTTTTTACATAATATGCCTTTAAAAAATTATGAATACAGAACATAAATGATAAATATTATTTCAAATTGGTAGTGATGTGTTATGGTGGTAAATATTAAAAAAGTTGATTAGTGTAAAGTAAGACATATATAATGATTTAATTTCGTAGCATAGTAAAATATTAGTGCGAACATCAGTTTTCTGTAAAATATGTATTAATTAATCTTTCATGTGCCTACGAAACCTGTCAAATTTGCTGTAATTTATCTTATTAAGGTGCATTAAAATTTAAAGGTTAATTTTGCAGTTTATTTTCGTCAGATTTATTAGAATTTGTGATGAATTTATTAGGGCATGAAATGCAAAAGGGCTTATTTATTATGAAAAGTATACTT